GTTTCGGGCCTAGATGAAGGGTCTAGGCCCGAAACGTCAGCCTCTCTGCTCCTATGATGCTGCTTGGCCTGCTGTGTTCATCCAGCCCTGCACCTTGTTGTCAATGATATGTAAGGTCTTTGTTGTGCAGAATCAAACTGTCAGTTATGTTTTCTGCATTACAACAGTAATTACATATTTTAAATGTACTAATCGGCTGTAAAGTGCTCAACCACATCCCAAGGTCCTGATAGGCACTATCCAAAAGCAGGTCTATTTCTTTGTTTTTATTCATTTTTAATAATTTTGTGCTGCTGGAACATACTGTAGATGACTGAAACAGTGTGTCATTTATCCAAGTAATTGGAAGACAGTGTGAATAAAGATCATTTCATTTATTGAACACAAATTAAACATTATTGGTGGCTGAAACAAGTTGAATCATTAAATTACAGCTTAATTCAGTCAAAAATAGTACTGTACCTTCCTCCTGAGCATCAACCACTGTACCAAAGCATAAAAATTCACAATAAAGTCAAATTATTTTGTTGTGGCTCCAGTGGGGAAAGCTAAAGAAATACACATTTTTGCAATCTGTTTTACAAGGTAAAATTAATAGATTTTTATGCCTCAAGATTTAAACATTTATTTTGAGTGCAAGTAGTCTAATTTTTGGTGATCAGTATTACAGAAAAGAGGAAAAGGGAAAGAATAATACACTGCACCTTTGCAGTTTTTTATCATTTTCCCGGACTTTTTGGATTACTACAGTCTTAAAATTAATTTTAGAAATTACAGCACTATTATTCATCACTTTGCAGCATGGCATATTAGAATTATATGAGAGTCCCTTGGCATTCAGGAAGAGAGCAGTGAATTGTTGTTTTGAGCGCAGACATTTAGCCATAATAGAGTTCGATGATTTACATTGATCTGTTCTAGTTCTTTTAACACCAGCACAGATAGTTCTCCTATAACATGATAGTTGCTTTCTTATGTAACCTTGCACAATAGAAGATTGTGTTATAGGGAAATTGCTATAGAAACCTGTAGAGCAGAAAGCTGATGTTATCCGAACAGGGTCCACTATTCAACCAATTTGCGTTAACAAAACACACGTTAGAGCAGAACTACCTGTAAATCTACGGAACCTTTCCAGCATTTTCTGGTCACATTTCATCCCTCCTTTATCTGCTTGTTTATTTATTATTCCCTTCCCATTTCTCCAATATTCTTGCATTTTTCTTGTTTGATCCTTTCTATATTGAGTAAGAAATTTAGAAGAGTTTTCTTTGTGCGTGTTGGCCTTATGCTGTGTCATATCCCAATGGAGACAGAAATGTCATCTCTGGCTTCTGATGCAGCAACTTGCACTTATTATCATACAATAAATTACGTCTTGTTGTCAGATAAGTGTCGCTTCTCATTAAGACTCAATAGTGGTTTATCCTCTTCTACTGCTAATCAGATAAGCCCTTTGACTCAGCACAAAAAAGAGAATTAGTGACAATTCTTTGCCCTATTCTCACGCTATCAACGGTTGGTATCATAACATGTGACAAAGGAAGAGTGATGTTGATATCTAGATGGTACACAATTCAACTGGTTCAACAAACTAACTGACCCTTGGGTCCTGAGAGCTTTATTTTTGCAGCATTTTCTGCTTCTCTATTAAACAGTTTGCCTGTTAAATGTGTGATTGGACCACCAATTGTTCACTCTTATTTTTCTTTCTTTATTCTTGCATGGGATGTGTACATGACTGGAAAGGATTGCATTTATTCCCATCAACAAGTGACCTTGAACTGAATGGTTTGCTATGGCATTTAAGATCAACTACATTTGCTGTGGATCTGGATTGACACATAGGGTAGTCTGAGTAAGGAAAAGGCATTAGTGAACCAAATGGGTTTTTACAGAAATAAATGATAGTTTCATGGTTACCATTACCAGGCTAGCTTCACATTCCAATTGTATGCATTGAATTTAAATTTCACTAGCTGCTGTGGTTGGAGTTAAACCCAAGTGGCCAAAGCATTATCTTGGGATTTTAAGCTACTAGTCCAGTGACATTATCATTAAACCACCAAACCCCCACCACAGTAATATGTTTGCCTAACTTTCAGTTTTCTGTGATGAAGATAAATACTGATCGATCTGCTATGTATTGCCACTTATTGCTGTAAAAAAATCAAAATAATTATGATATTGATGCATAATAATATTGGGTTGATTACATATGTCTATCATTTCAAGCTTTAGAATTGAGGTGTGTCCTGATTTCTTTGATGTGCGTATTAATTTTCTGAGCAAAAAGTTACTTGGATGGGTCTTTTATTCTTCCAAGAAAGAGTATGTTGTTTGTGTTTTCCTCATAGATAATCAAAATGAACGGTCGATTAAATTCCAATATAAGTGGCAATGACAATGGAATAATACCTACTCCAGTAGCTCCAGCTGCCTCAGTGGATTTCTCATCAATATCCAGCACTGCCTTATGAGAAACCTTAAGAACCAAAAATAAATAAAGCTGAAGGTCACATTTTCCAATTGCATTGTAAACAATTATCATTGAAAGAAGTTTTAAAAGATTATTGGTATTCAGCTTCTTACAACCATTAAGCTTAAAAATATAGCGGACCTTTCAGCCCATTTGCAATCTCAAATCTTCACATCATAACTCATGGGAATAAAGCAGGCCATTCAGCCCATCAAGTCTGCTGCATTATTCAACAAGATCATGGCTTACCTGGTAAACCTCAAATCCCCTTTCCTGCCTTTTCCTTATAACCTCTGATTCCATTATTGATTAAAATGATATCTCAGTCTTCAATATACTTAATGATGCAGCCTCCACAGATCTATGTGGTAAAGAATTCCTCAGATTCACTACTCTCTAGGAGAAAAAACTCCTCCAAATTTCTGCCTTAAATGGCCTACCCCTTATTCTGAGATTATGTCCTCCAGTCTTAGACTCTCCAAATGGGAAAACAACCTTTCTGCATCTGCACTGTCAAGTCCACTATGAATCTCTTATGTTTAGGGAGGTGTTGCTGAAACTGTGTTTGGCATTAGTCAGACCACACCTGGAATACTGCGAACAGCTTTGGTCCCCTTATTTAAGGAATGGTAGACAGGGATTGGAGACAGTCCAGCAAAGGTTCACTATGTCCAAATACGGAGGGATTTTCTTATGAGGTTTGGTTGAGTAGTTTGGATTTGCAGTCGGTCAGGTTTAGAAGAATGAAAGGAAATCTTATTGAAATATAATGCAGTGTGCTCACTGCTCCTCTTATGGTCATGAGAAATTCCCGGCTAGAACACTCAAGACAGAATAGAAGAGGATGTTGTTAAGAATGGAGGGTTTTAACTTTGAGGAAAGTTTGAACTTTCTTTGCAATGCTGGAGGTTGAGGCAATATTTGATTAAGATTTATAAAACTATAAGGGGCCTAGATGGAGTTGATAAAGGATCAAATTCCTTTAGCAGAGACATCAATAAGGAGAGACAAAAATGTAATTGGCAGAAGGATTACAGGAGAATTGAGGAGAATTTTCTTCACTCAGGATGCTTGGGAGAAGGAACTTACAGCTTTGATATGATGGATGATGAAATCCTTAGCACGTTTCGAAGATTTCAAAGTTTGGAAAAGCAGTTGCAATGTCAATACAAAGGCAGTAATATGAACTAAGAGCTGGAAAATTGAATTAGGCTTAAAGCTTTTGCCAGCCAACACAGACATTGTAGTTTGAACAGCCTCAATGTGTGTTGTAAATTTTATGTTTCTCTTGATTTCTTACCACTCGTGGCATTTAATTGATGGAAAGCTTCCAACTTCAGTGGGAGTACACTCTTCCTTAACTGACAACCACTACTGTTGTGGATTTCAGAGGAACACTTATCAAATCATCTAATTGAACCAACAGCCAGAAAATTGTCCAGACTACAAGTGTTTGTACACATGAACCATGAGCAGGAGTTAGATATTCAGCTCCTGAAGCCTGCTTGACTATTTTTTCAAAAATCATAGCTAATTTGTTACATGCTTCAATAAGGCCAGCTCACACTCTCTAAAATTCAACAGATACAAGCCCAAACAGTGTAATCTTTCCTCAGAATAACTTCTGCATTCTAGGTGTCAGTTAAGTGAACCTTCTCTGAAATGCCTCCAACACAATTATATTCTCTCAAAACACAAATGTGAAACCAAAACACGACACAGTATTCCAGAAGTGGTTTCCATAATGCCTTTTAAAACTGGTCGAAGAGCCTCCATATATTTATATTCCCTGGCAATAAACAACATTCCATTTGTTTTCCAATCACTTGCTGTACTTGCACGCTGACATCATATGACCTCTGTACCAGAGCAGGAATTCCTCAGAATTTCAAAGTTCTGCATTTCTCTTCATTCATAAGATACATTAGTTGGATATTTATCCTACAAAAGCTTACATTTTCCCACATTCCATCCATTGCTAAAACATTGTCCACTCACTTAACCTACCTACATCCCTTTGTAGGCTTACGTCCTCTTCACAACTTACTCTACTTCTTTTAATGTCAGTTTTAAATTTAGCAGCCATGTATTCTGCCCCTACATTCAAATCATTGTAAATAGTTGAAGCTCCATCACTAATTCCTATGGTGTCCCACTAATTACAGCTTGTCAACCTGACAATTACACACCCATCTCTACTCCTTTTATTTAGTTCAGTAACCATTCCTCTATCCATATTATAGTATTACTGGCTGCAACATGACATCTTATTTTGTACAGTAACCTTTGATATGGCACCTTATCAAATGCCTTTTGGGAATCCAAGTAAAAGCACATCTACAGAAAAACTAAACAAGGTACAAAAGACCTGTCAATTCTTGGAATCTGCTCTGCTATTCAATAAGATCACGGCTGATCTGATTTGAGCCTCAACTCTACATTCATGCAAACTTCTGATAATTTTTCATTCCCTTGGTAATAAAGAATAAATCTACCACTATATATCACTACCTTAAAAATATTTAAAGATTTTGCAGCTGCTGGGTTTTGAGGACAGGAATTCCAAAACTAACTTTGGGAAAATGTTTTTCTTTACTTGTGTTAAATGGCAATCCCTTAGGTTTACCCCTGGAGTGGGGTTCTCCAACAAGAGGAAACACCCTTTCCACATCCAATCAGTCGAGTACCCTCAGCATCTTACATGTTTCATTTAAGTCACCTGTGATTCTTCTAAACCAAGAGGATACAGTTCTGGCCTGTGTAGCCTTTCCTCACAAGGCAGTCTGCTCATCTCGGTGTTCATCTAGTAAACATTCACTGAACTGCTTCCAAAGCATTAACATCCTTCCATAAGTACAGTGATTAGTTCTGTATACAGTACTCCATATGCAGTCTCATTAAGGCTCTGAACAGCCACAAAACGCAACAGCCACTCATTGGAGGAGTCCCAATACATCCATCAGCCCAGACTCAGCCCACTTGCAGGTAGTAACTCCACCAGCCCAGCCTCAGCTGGGCCATTTACAGACATGCCCAACCCAGGAGCTGAGAGTCCAACAGAATCAGGACAAGGAGAGAATATATCCACCCACGATAGTTAGAACTCACCAACCAGTGAACACTCCTTTAAAAAGCCACACCCCAGGAATCGGCTTCCCTTTACACACATTACTTATTAATTCCTCAGAGAACTAATTAATCAAATCCAATTCCTTTTTCCCAAATCCATGTTAACTCTGCATGATCCATTAAGACTTTTTAAATACCCTACTATAACTGCCCAAACAATAAAATCTAGCTTTTTCACCTGTGATAGCAATTACGCTAACTCGCCTGTGATTTCCTGTTGGCTGTGTCCATCCTTTCTTGTATAGATTATTTCCGAGTCTGATGGAACCTTTCTAGAATGTAGGGAACTTGGGAAAATTACACTTACTATCTTAGTAGACCCTTGAATGTAGGCCATCAGGTCTCCAGATTTTATCAACATTCAGTTCCAATACTTTTTTCAATACTCTTTCTTGATGTGTGTAACTCTTTAGGTTCCTTTTCTCTTTTCACCTTTTAATGTATATGAATTCATAGGATACTATTTGTTTCTACTTTGTGAAAACACACAATATCTGTTAACTGCTTCCACCATTTTCTCATTTCTCATTATTAATTCCCCAGACACACTCTCTAGAGGAACAATGTTCACTTTAGTTACTCTTCCCCTTTTCAATTTCTTGTTGAAACACTTGCTATCTGTTTCTATGTTTTAAATAGCTTTCTGTTATACTCTAATTTCTTCCTTTTGTTTAGCCATTCTTTGTTGCTTTCTAAAAAATTCTGTCTGATTATTTGACCTACCTCAAACTGTAGTCTGAATATGGCAAACTGGTGATGCATTTAAATCTCATACCCTTCCCACCTTCACAAGAATTAAGTTCTTGGTGGGAAAGTTCATAGTTGGCCATCCTGCCACACTACCAATTGAGGCCCTTTAATTGCCAATTAATAACCACCTAAGGGCCTCAGCCAAGTTCTTCTGGGACTAACCAACAGATAGTAGGCCAGTTGCCCAATGGCAATCTCAGCTACTGCCTTCCTGCAGAAAGCTTTTCACTGTAAACAGTACCTTAATCAAAGACAAGCCGTACCTGTTCAGGAGTCTGAACAATGGGTAAAAACTTCACTGAGCCAAACCCCTGCCTTTCCTTCAAGCTCCCTTGCCCAATGATTCCAAGCTTGACAACTACTCCCCACATCATTCGCTTTTCTCCTCAGTGCTCATGATTTTGAGATTTTGGGGAGTGGACTTGTTGCAGCAGCCATAGCCTCTGAAGCGGTGATATTGAGTGCAAGAGCTCTCTGTTTGACTGGCAGTTGTCACTAGATGAGGCTTCCATGCCGAAACCTGTTTCCAGGTGATGGCCCTTGGTAGCCTTTCGACTGCCTGATAACTTTTAATTTATTTGGCCTCCTCTGGAAGATCCAGCATGGGTCTCAGCAGCTCTCCAGTGAGCTGAAAAGACCCCCAATGCCTGAAGAGGATTCACCCAGACACTTTGTTTCTCACTTGAATACATTTTTGTTAAAAGTTATGAAGTATCTCTTTAAGTGTTTGCCACTGCATCTTTACTGACTTAATTTTAGACTAGGGTCCTGAACTTAAAGGAAGCCAATTTTGATGGTATGAGGCATGCGTTGGCTAGGATAAACTAGCCAAGGATACTTAAGGTGTTGGTGGTCGATAGGCAATGGCAGACATTTAAAGTACATATGGGTGAACTTCAACAGTTGTACATCCCTGTCTGGCATAAGAGTAAAACGGGGAAGGTGGCTTAACCATGGCTAACTAGGGAAATCAGGGATAGTGTTAAAGCCAAAGAGGAAGCATATAAATTGACCAGAAAATGAAGCAAAACTGAGGACTGAGAAAAATTTAGAATTCAGTAGGGGAGGACAAAGGGTTTAATTCAGAAGGGGAAAGTAGAAAATGACAGTAAGCTTGCAGAAAACATAAAAACTGACTACAAAATCTTCTATAGATATGTGAAGACAAAAAGACTGGAGAAGACAAATGGAGGTCTTTTACAGTTAGAATCAGGTGAATTCATAACGGACAACAAGGAGGGGGCAGAGCAGTTGAACAAATACTTTGGATCTGTCTTCACTAAAGGAGGACACAAATAGCCTTTCGGAAATGCTAGGAGACAGAGCGTCAAGCATGAAGGAGGAACTGAAAGAAATCTTTATTAGTCAGGAGATGGATTTGGAAAATTGATGAAATTAAAACCTGATAACTTCCCAGAGCCTAATGCTCTGCACCCCAAAGCACTTAAGGAAGTGGCCATAGAAATAATGGATGCATTGGTAATCATTTCCAGCATTCTATAGACTCTGGAAGAGTTCCAATGGACTGGAGGGTGGCTAATGTAATGCCACTTTTTAAAAAGGGAGAGGGAAAATGGGGAATTATAGGCCAGTTAGCCTGACATCACTGGTGGGGAAAATGCTGGAGTCAATTATTAAGCATGTAATAATTGAGTATTTGGAAAGTGGTGACAAGTCAGCATGGATTCACTAAAGGGAAATCATGCTTGACAAATCTTCTGGAATTTTTTTGAGGACGTGACCAGTAGGATGGATGAGAGTGAATCAGTGGGTGTTGTATATCTGGACCTTGAAAAGGCTTTAGACAACATAGCACACAGGAGATTAGCATGCAAAATTAAAGCTCATGGTATCAAACGTAATGTGTAGGTGTGGATAGAGAACTGTTTGGCAGACAGGAAGCAGAAAGTTGGAATAAATGAGTTCTTTTCAGAGTGGCAGGCAGTGATAAGTGTGGTGCAACAGGGTTCAGTACTGCAATCTCAGCTGTTCACAATATACATTAACCATTTGGATGAAGGAATTGAATGCCATATCTCCAAATTTGCAGATGACATTAGCTGGGTGGCAGAATGTGCTGTGAGGAGGATGCTAAGAGGCTGCAGTGTGACTAAGGCAGGCTGGCTGCGTGGGCAAATACTTGGCAAATGCAATGTAATGTGGATAAATGTGAGGTCATGCACTTTGGTGGCAAAAACGGGAAGGCAGATTGTTATGTGAATGGTGGCAGTTTAGGAAAAGATGAGGTGCAACAAGACTGGTTGATGGTTCGTGGTTGAACAGTCGCTTAAGGTTGGCATGCAGGTGCAGCAGGCAGTGAAGAAAGCTAATGGCATGCTCTCTTTCATAGCAAGAGGATTTGAGTACGGGAATAGGAATGTCTTGGTGAGGCTACACCTTGAGTACTGTGTGCAATTTTAGTCTCATAGTCTGAAGAAGGACATTCTTGCTATTGAGGGAGTCCGACAAAGGTTCACCAGACTGATTCTCGCGGTGTCAGACTGACATATGAGAAAGACTGGATCAACTGGGCTTGTGTTTGCTAGAATTTAGAAGAATGAGGGGGGAGTCTCATAGAAACATATAAAATCCTGATGGGAGTGGACAGGCGAGATGTGGAAAGAATGTTTCCAATGTTGGGAAAGTCCAGGACAAGTGTTCACATTCTAAAAATAAGGGGTAAGCCATTCAGGACCGAGATGAGGAAGAATTTCTTCACTCAAAGAGTTGTGAACCAGTGGAATTCTACCACAGAAAGCTGTTGGGGCCAGTTTACTACACATATTCAAGAGGGAGCTTGACATGGACCTTGTGGCTGAAAGGATCAAGGGGTATGGAGAGAAAGCAGGAATACTGAAATTGTACAATCAGCCATGATCAGATTTTGGTAGGAGTAATAGTAAAAAGGATTATTACTTGAATGGTAAAAATTTGCACCATGCTACTATGCAGAGGGACCTGGGTGTCCTTGTGCATGAATGACAGAAGGTAGGTCTGCAGGTACAACAAGTAATTAGGAAGGCAAATGGAATTTAGTCCTTCATTGCTAAAGGGATTGAAATAAAAAGCAGAGAGGTTATGTTGCAGCTGTACAAGGTGCTGGTGAGGCCACACCTGGAGTACTGTGTGCAGTTTTGTTCTCCTTACTTGAGAAAGGATGTACTGGCACTGGAGGAGGTGCAAAGGAGGTTCACTAGGTTGATTCCGGAGTTGAGGGGGTTGGCTTATGAGGAGAGACTGAGTAGATTGGGATTATATTCATTGGAATTCAGAAGATTGAGGGGGGATCTTATAGAAACATATAAAATTATGAAGGGAATAGATAAGATAGAAGTAGAGAGGATGTTTCCACTAGCAGGTGAAGCTAGGACAAGAGGGCATAGCCTCAAGATTAGAGGGAGCAGATTTAGGACTGAACTGAGAAGGAATTTCTTCACCCAGAGGGTTGTTAATCTGTGGAATTCCTTGCCCAGTGAAGTAGTTGACGCTACTTCAGTAAACGCTTTTAAAAAAAAGGTAGATTTTTTTTGAACATTAAAGGAATTAAGGGATACGGTGAAAACGCGGGTAAGTGGATCTGAGTCCACGAAAGGATCAGCCATGATCTTATTGAATGGCAGAGCAGGCTCAAAGGGCCAGACGGCCTACTCCTGCTCCTAGTTCTTGTGTTCTTGTGTTCTTGTGATTGAATGGTGGTGCAAGCTCGAAGGGCCGAATGGCCTACTCCTGCCCTTATTTTCTCTGTTTCTACATTTCAAATTTCTCAGTTCATTTTAGCCAACTCAATCTTCATAGTCTGATTATTCCCTTGAGTTAAGTTTAAAACACTGGTCTTAGAACCTCACTGTTCATCCTCAACCTGAATGCGAAATTCACGTGTTTTGATCACTGATACCTAAAAGCTTCTTTACGTAAGGTCATTAAACAATCCAATCACCTTGTGCATTACCAGGTCTATAATAACATGCTCTAGAACATGTTGCTTTAAGAAACTGTCCTAAATGCACTCTATGAACTCATCATCGTTTTCCAAGACATCGTTTTCCAATCAGATTTGTACAATCTATATGTAGATTTAAATCATCCAAGATTATTTTGGTATCCTTGTTACAAGTTATCCTTGTTTCTTCTCACATACTCTGTCAAATAGTGCAGCTTCTGTAAGGTGGAGGGGGGGGTGGTGTGCATAAATTCCTTCCACTAGTAATTTTTTTCCTTTGCTATTTTTTATTTCTACTAAATTGATTCTACATCTTGATCTTTAGAACTAATGTCATCTCTCAGTATTGTACTAATGTCAGCCTTAATTAGAACAGCAACCTTATCATCTTTTCCTGACTACCTGACCTTCCAAAATGTCAAATGCATTCAGTGGCTTGATTTCATTTAGATAACAAAAGCCGAAATTGGCAGAAATGTTCTTAATACCATTTTAATTAATTTACACATACATTTGTCACAAATGGGCATCTTCCAGCATAGTAGAAAATACTTTCATCATAATGAACTTACCTGTGAAACTTTCAGATTTTCACTTTCACTTATCCCAAACAAGTTGGCCTCAGGTGTAAACAAATCTCTCAGACCCATTTCAGCGAGGATATTTTTCATCTCATATGACAATGACAGTGACACTTTTGGAAAGTGGAGGATACATTGTTGCCTGCTCAACAAAATTTTGAAATAATGGGGGAAAGCAAACAAAAATCATTTTTTATACAAAAGGACAGGTACTAGTATAAATATCAAAAATACTTCACATATTTAAACTGATTGGGATGAAATTTTAATTACTTGTGGTAAGCAAGTTCTTGGACCCATTCTTCAAATTTTTCATGGGAAAGATTTTGTTCCACATGTTCTAGTTTCCCGTCTGCAGGCAAGATGGCGATCATCGATGCATTTCCAAGGTAAGGAAGTTTTATTACATTACTGAAAAGATTGTAGTCAGATATCTTACTGAATGCGTTGGTTTGGTGCATCATTTGAACAGGTACTTTTGTGGTTTTGTTCACACTAAACAATGTTTCTTGAGTATGTGCTGGATCAAATGGTTTCTTCCATTTTCCTGTTGGACATAAATTTGACAGAGTAATTCAGCCATAGATAATTCCTACAGATTAATTCAGAAAGAATAGTTGTAAGTGGAAAGCATGTGTGAGAATCTTGTTACAGAGCTAGGACACACTTGTGGACTACAGGGGGTTAAATCTATTAAGTTGACAGCCAGAGCACATTGTCAGTTACACCAGGTGGTGCCATATCCCATGTAGATGGAACATGAGGGATGAATGTTCTAATGGAGTCTTGCTAAAGCTTGTCTCTATAATTTGTCAGCAAATGGTCACTTTTTTGCACCAGCTCTGCTTTAGCTTTCTTCTATCAAAGGGTCTCAGAACTCAGTTGTGATATTAATAGAACTTGGAGCTTGAAATTCTGCACTGGCCCATTACATTGAAATTGTGGGTGGTGGATAATGGAGCAAAATGTGGTTCCATCAGGATTCTGTTCCCTGGAAAAGAAGCTAGGAAATTTCATTAAAATAGATTATGGGTGATCTTCTGCCTGTCATTTCATACAGCATGGAAACAGACCCTTTGCTCCAACCGGTCCGTGCTGACCATGTTCCCAAACTAAACTGGTCCCACTAGCCTGCATTTGGCCCATATCCCTCCAAACCTTTCCTATTCATGTACTTATTCAAATGTCTTTTAAGCATTGTAACTGTACCTGCATCCATCACTTTCTCTGGCAGTTCATTCTATGTACTAACCACTCTCTGTGTAAAAAAAGTTGCCCCTCATGTCCTTTCTAAAACTTTCTCCTCTCAGCTTAAAAAATATGCCCCCTTCCTTTGAACTCCCCCACCCTAACTATTCACCTTATATATGCCCCTCATGATTTTATAAACTCCTATAAGGTCACCCCTCAATCCCTGCACTTCAATGACAAGAGTCCCAGCCTATCAAGCCTATTTTTATAACGCAAACCCTCCATTCCCAGCAACATCCTGGTAAATCTTTTCTGAACCCTCTCCAGATTAATAATATCCTTCCTATAACAGGGCGACCAGAACTGTGCATAGCACTCCAGAAGAGGCCTCTCCAATGTCCTGTACAGCCTCAACATGACATTGCAACTCCTTTACTCAAAGGCCTAAGCAATGAAGGCAAGAGTGGTAAACGCCTTCTTAACCACCCTGTCTACCTGCAATGCAAATTTCAAAGAAATATGTACCTGAACCCCTAGGTCTCTCTGTTCTACTACACTACCCAAGGCCCTACCATTTATTGTATAAGTCCTGCCATTGTTTGTTTTACCAATACCCCACATTTATCCAAATTAAACTCCAGATGCTGCTCCTCAGCCCATTGATCCAATTAATGAAGATCTCTTTGTAATTGTAGATAGCTTTCTTCACCATCCACTATACCACCAATTTTGGTGTCATCCGCAAACTTATTAACCATGTCTCCTACATTCTCATTCAAATCATTCCTATAAATGACAAACAAAAGTGGACCCAGTACTGACCCCTGTCAAACACCGCTGGTCACAGGCCTCCAGTTTGAAAAACAACCCTCTGCCACCACTCTCTATCTCCAACTGTAAAACCAATCTGTATCCAATTGGCAAGTTCACCCTGAATCACATGTGATCTAATTCTATTAATCGGTCTACCATGCAGAACCTCATTAAAGGCTTTACTAAAGTCCAAATAAACAGCATCTACCATTCTGCCATCATCATTCTTTTTTGGTTACTTCCTCAAAAAACTCAATCAAGTTTGTGAGATATGCTTTCCAATGCACAAAACTATGCTGACCATCCCTAATCATTCCTTGCCTCTCCAAATACATGTAAATCTTATCTTTCAGAATCACCTCCAACAAATTACATGTCACTGATGTGAGACTCACAGGTCTGTAGTTCCCAGGCTTCTCCTAATAGATTTTCTTAAATAAAGGCACAATATTAGCCACCCTCCAGTACTCTGGCACCTCACCTGTGATTATAGATGATACAAATATTTCTGCTTGGGCACCACAGTTTCCTCCCTAACTTCGCACAATGTCCTGGAATACATTTGATCAGGTCCTGGCGATTGATCCAACTTTATGTTTTCAAAGACCTCCAACACTTCCTTTTCTCTGATATGAACTGTTTTCAAAACATCAGTATTTTTTTCCCTGAGTTCTCTAGCCTCCATTTCTTTCTCCACAGTAAAAACTGATATAAAATATTCATTTATCATCTCTCCCATCTCCTGAGGTTCAACATAAAGATGATCTCTTTGATCTTTAAGAGGTCCAACTCTCTGTCTAGTTGCTCTTTTGCCCTTTTGTAGAATCTTTGTAGATTTTGTAGAATCTCTTTGGATTATCCTTAATCTCATCTGTCAAGGCTATCTCATATCCCCTGTTCGCCTTCTTGGTTTCCCTTTTAAGAATGCCCCTACACTCTTTATACTCTTTAAGAGATTTATTTAATCCCTGCTGTCTATCTCTAATATATGATTCTTGTTTCATTCTTGACTAGAACTTCAATATCTTTATTCATTCATTATTCCCTAAATTTAAGTCTTACCTTTCAGTCTAACAGGAACATAATGCCTCTGAGCTCTTGTCAGTCATTCCTTTATCTGCAAACAGTCTACTCCAATCAAATTTTGATAGTTCCTGTCACATACCATTAACACTTGCCTTACTCTAATTGAGAACTTAAAATTCCACAACTATTTTATAACTAATAAAATTATGATCACTAGTCCCAAAGAGTTCACGTACTAACACTTCAGTGACTTGCCCTGCCTTATTTCCCAAGAGAAGATCAAGTTTTGTTCTTTCTCTATTAGAAAAATTTAGATATTGATGAAGAAAATTTCCTTGAACACATTTATAAATTCCTCACAATCCAAACTTCTAACATTGTGGCAGTCCCAGACAATGTTTGGAAAATTAAAATACCCTACTGTTACAACCCTATTATTCTTAGAGATGTCTGAGATCTCTCTACATATTTTCTCCTCAATTTCCCTCTGACTATTGAGTCTTAGGGAGCTCCTGTATTTGCCTGTGGAAAGTCCACCATTAGACTTAAAAAACTTAATGTCTTTTGAGACCCTGTATCATCATGAGGGGTCTGTTAAAAGCTCCAAAAGGTAACTCATTTCAGGAGTGGAGGGTGAAGAGGATTTTCCACTGAAAAAGAATGGCTGGATTGTCACTTTTGAGAGCTGAGGAGTTGAGTGGCTGTTGCACAGTGAGACCCTAATCAATCCTTCTCTACTTTGTTGGAAAAGCATGACAATATCGCTGACATTTCCAGCCTCTAGTGGGTTGGGTATCACTGATGGTCTCCTAAGACTTTTGCAAAAACAAATTACGTTGATGGCTCCAACCATTAGATAGGCAGCTATCCTGCCTACCTCAGGTGACAGAGTTTCCGGTTAGCCAAATCTTCTAGCAACACAGCAGGAACCTGGGAATTTCAGCCCTTTGGTGTGTTGCTGTTAACAGGTTGAATTCTGGTAGTAAACCTGCAATTTTACAATCAAAGTATTGCATCTTTCAAATTTTGGGGTTTCCTGTTAAAATACAGCAGTTACAGCCATTATAGAATACTTACAAACATTATCAGAATAACAGAAAGCTCTTCTGCTGTGGTAAAATTCTTGGGGTGGCACAATGGCTGAGCGGTTAGCACTGCTGCCTCACGGGTTTGATTCCACCCTCTGGTGACTGTCTGTGTGGAGTTTGCATGTTCTCCCCGTGTCTGCGTAAGTTTCCGCCAGGTGCTCTGGTTTCCTCCCACAGTCCAAAGATGCGCAAGTTAGGTGGATTGGACATGCTAAATTATCCATAGCATTCAAGGATGTATAGGTTTGTTGCATTAGCCACGGAAAATGCAGAGGTACAGGGATAAGGTAGGGTGATGGGTCTGGGTGGGATGGTCTTCAGAGGGTCAGTGTGGACTTGTTGGGCCAAATGGCCTGTTTCAACACTGTAGGAATTCTATGGAAAATTCTCTCTAAAGAGTTAATATTAACTATTAATTACAATAAGTGGGAAAAGCAGGGCAACCCTTTATTTGACAAGATTAAAGTACATTGAATGTGGCAGGCCATGGAAAAGCAAATATGATGGCATAGAGCCAGAACTGCTAATCTGGGGAAATGAAGAGAGGAAATAAATTACAGGAAACAGAATGATTTCAAGACTGAGGGATTACAGTTATTTGGATTGACTATAGGAGCTGGGGTATTCTACTGAGAACAGAGAAGGCTCGCAGAAGATTTGACAGAAGTTTTTGAAGTCATGAAGGGTTTAACTAGAGTAACAAAGGGAAACTGTTTCCAATGGATGAAGGGCATGAATTCAAGGTCATTGGTTAAAAAATCAGAAGTGAGATCAGGAAAAGATTTTTTTATGCAGCAAATAGTTAAGATAGGGAATTCTCTGCATGATAGGGTGGTGAAAATAGATTCAACAGTAGCTATCCAAGGGGGTTTAAATATAATTTGAAAGAAAAATAAAGGGGCATTGGAGGAAAAGTGGGTTTAACTGGATTGCTCTTTGAAAAACTTAATGCTGTCTCATTCAATGCTATCTTATTTTATAATTTTGGGATTTTTAGAGTAGAGAGGACTTTTCTTCAAAAAGAAATAGAGCAACAAACTTCAGAATAAGTGACAAACAATCTGATTGTAGTGTCCATTGTTTCATAAGCCTAGATGTCTAGTCCCTTACATTAGTTGTTATGCTGCAATATTTGCCCCAGAACATGCAAATCAAATAATGGCGTACCATGCTGGACAGAATAGGGTAGAATTTGACCTTGAAGATGAACAGCAGAATGACACTATCTATTATGTGTAAAGCCATTACAATATAGAAAAACACCATTTGATCCGTTGTGTATTTGTTAGTGTTTTGCCAGTATGTTTCAAAACTAAGCCATTGCTATGGCTTTCTTCTAATAGCAATCTTCCTTTGCTGTAGTGCTTTTTACAATCTGAGCCATCATTCTACTTGTTTCCTATTTGTTTCTCATGCCTTTCAATATTTCTATTTTCCAAGCAATGATTTCATGGCTCTTTCCAAATGTTTACAGACCCTTCTGCAGCTAGTATTCAGCAGGATTTCCAAATTCTAACTTCCTATGTAAAAGTTACTGTTCAATCTTTGTTTTAATTCAGGTTTTATGAATAAATTTTCAGAAGATGTGGATCAAAAATTGCTCTTGTGATTCAAAGAACACCACATATTTGTAGTTTTGTACATTTATGTAAATTATTAGCAAAGTAGATTTTACTGAAAGGCAAGAGCTAAATTTTAAACGGCAGCATCTCCAAAGTAATAATCTCTGGATTACTACCTGAACCCCAAACAAATTGACATATAGTAGATAAAGTCAAGGAGTTAAATGCATGGCTCAAAGATTAGTGTGGATAGAATAGCCTTCAGCCCATGAGACACTGGTACCAATACTAAGGGGACAGTTCTGGTGGATTGGGCTTCACTTGGTCTGTGCTGCAAATAGTGGCCTGGCGAATCAGATAACAAGAGCTATGAAGAGGGCTTTAAACAAAATAGAAAGGAAAAAAGTAACATCTAATGTGGCAAAGATTAGTGGTAAGCTGGAGGATTGGGGAAGTTGTAAAAACCAACAAAAGGTAACAAAGAGAGGAAGAAAGTAAACTTTTAGGATAAACTTGAAAGGAATATCAAATGCATACTAAAAGCTACTTTACATATATAAAAAGGAAGAGAGAAGTTAAGGTGAACATAGGCCCCTTTAGAGAATAAGGTTGGGGAAATAATAATGAGAAACCAGAAAATGGCAAAGAAGTTGAATAAATACATTGCATCAGTCTTGACATCAGAAGACACTAATAACATCCCAAAATTACTAAATATTCAAGGAGCAAAAGGAGGAGTGGAAATAAGTACACTATCACTGGAGAAAAGAGTGCTAGGGGAAACTAATGGGGATTAAGACTGATAAGTCCTGATGGGATGTAACTAAGGATATTGAAGCAAATAGCTACAGAGATAGTGGTAAACCTCTTGGAATCTTTTGATTCTGATAAGTCCCAGAAGGTTAGAAATATGCCAGTTTTATTTTATTTACAAATTGAAGGAGGCAGAAGTCAGGAACTATATAGGCTAGTTAGCTTAATTACTATTATTGGGAAAGTGTCAGAGACTGCAAGAGCAGAGCATTTTGAATTACACAGTAAGATTAAGCATAGTCATCTTAGCTTCATGAAGGGGAAATCATGACTTACAAATTTAGTACATTCTTTGAGAAAGTATCAAGTAGGATCGATAAAGGGGAAGCAATGGATGTGATTTGGATTTTCAGAAGGCGTTTGATAAGGTGCTAAACATTAGGTTGCTTCATAAGATAATATCGTATGGTGATGGGGGTAGTATATTCACATGGATAGAGGATTGGCTAACGAATAGAACATAAAGTTGGGATAAGAGGGGAATTTTCAGGGTGGCAACCTCTAACTCATGGAGTGCTGTGGGGATCAGTGTTGGGACCACAATTATTTACAACATATATTAATGACTTAGATGAGGAAAGTGAATGTACCATTGTTTGTGGATGAGACGAAAATAGGTAAGTGGTGAGGATGACAGTCTGCAGAGGGATGTGGGCAGGTTAAGTGAGTTGACAAAAATTGGAAGATGGAATATAATATGGGAGGTTTGCACTATGGCTGGAAGAATAGCAGAGCTGAATATTATTTAAATGGAGAAAGACTGCAGAAAGCAATAGGAGAGAGCTTGGGACTCCCTGTCCAAGAATCACAAAAAAACTAGCATCCAAGTTCAGCAGGTAATAGGGAAGGCAAATGGAATATGTAAGTAGACGTGTTTTCCTAAAACGACAAGGCATTGGTCAGACCACAGCTAGAATACAATGAACAGTTTTAGGCCCCTTTTAAGTAAAGGAAAAATTGGAGGCAGTCCAGTGAATGTTCATTTAGCTGATACCAGGTATGGAGGGACTGTCTTATGAGAAGTGATTGAGTAGATTGGGTCTGTACAAGATTCTTAGGAGACTTGACAGAGTAGATGCAGAAAGATTGTTTCCCCTTATGGGAAAATCTAGGACAAGAGGGCATACTCTTAGAATGAGGTGTTGCACATTTCAAGACAGATGAGAAGGGATTTATTCTCTCAGAGAGTTGTGAATCTGCAGAATTCTTTACTACAGAGGGTTGTTGAGGTTGAGTCAATAAGTATATTCATGCAGAGATAGACAGATTTTTAGTTTGTAAGATAACCAAGGGTGATGAAGAAAAGCCAGGAAAGTGGAGCTAAGGATTATCAGAATAATCATGCTTGTGTTGAATGGCCTTCTTCTCTTGTGGTCTAATGTGAGTGGTGCACTTTGGTGGGAGGAACTTTGAAAAACAATATCACATAGAGCGAGCAACTCTAAAGGGGGTTCAGGACCAGAGAGACCTGGGTGCATATGTGCAGAGGTCATTGCCAGTACTGATGGAGAGAGCAGTTAATAAAGTAGACAGTGTCCTCAGCTTTATTAATAGGGATATAGAGTACAGGAATAAAGTGGTGATGTTGCATTTGTGTAAGACACTTGTTAGACGTTAATTGGATTTTTGTATACAGTTGTGGGTGCCACATCATAAGAAAGATGTGAATGTATTGGAGAGAGTGCAGAAGCAATCTACACAAATGGCTCCAAGAATGACACTAGCTTGAATAAGTCGGGACTCTTCTGTTTGGACAGAAGAAGGTTGAGAGGAGATTAATGGAGACTTTCAAAATCATGAGTGGGCTGGATGGCGTAGGTAGGGAGAAGGCATTCCTGCTCATGAAAAGAACAAGAATAAGAAGGCATAGATTTCAAGTGATGCGCAAAAGAAGACAAGGTGATAAGAAACTTTTCACACAGTGAGCAGTTAAGGTATGGAATGCACTTCCTGGAACTGTCATAGGATTGAAGCATTTAAGAGGGCATTGGATGATCATCTGGATAGTGTACACAGGTATGGGGAAAAGGCAGGAGATTGACATTAGATAATGATGTTTGTCTGGAGGGACAACAGACAGAATGGCCTCCTTCTGCACGGTAGCAATTCTGTGGTTTTTGAGATTCTGAGCTCTTCAAACATCTTGCTTTTCATTTTATCTTATTTCATTTGAACTGCATTTTTAATGTCAATGCCATCTTCAACAAGTAATCTAAGTGTTTTTGAGGTTGATTGCCCTTTAGTTTGTCATGAAATTAGAAAAGGGGGTCTTCCAATCAGCCTTTATATCAATGTTACATGATGATAAAGCCCAATTTCACAGAAATAAAATGTAAAATGAAATAGTTGATGTTGTTAGTTAAAGCTTTCATAATACATACTTAAATAAAATTATTGATATCTGTTTACATTTGTAAAGGAGAAGAAATTCTATCAAAATGATTAAAACAGATTTTTATATCTTGAAAAATATCAACAATGGTGTTTGACTATTTTCAGACTGCAATCATATTTTTTATAATAGTTGATGTATAACATGCAAAACATTCAACAATAAAAATTGATTTACCTTTAAAAAAGATGTAGTTAATTAGCATTAGTTTGGTTGAAGGGTCAATTGTGTCAAACATGTCTTTAATTTTCCCTTTTGTCATCTTTTTCACATAATCATTCAATCGTAGCCTGGCATTTTCAGGATCCAGATTAAAGTCTAGAGAAAACACCTCAGCATTGTAAAACTTCTTGGACTCATTCAGAAAGCTTGGCAACACATCATAGCCTTTTTGAATATGAAGAGAGTTTCCCATTAATAGCTGAAGCTCATTTTGTTCTGCCGTCAGGGATTGTAAGAGTTGTTTGTAGCCTCTGTTCATTTCATTTATTCTTTCCTCTGTCATATTATTGAGGTGAAGTCCCTTGAACAGCTGTTCCCGTGTCACAGATCTGGTTCCAAGTGACAACAGGGCTAAAGCGGTGGAAATACTCAGAGGGGAGAAGAAAATATTGGAAGTACTTTGGTTAGCAATTTCTTTGTAGAGCTCAAAAGCAAAATCAGTGTTTGCAGAAGAAATCATTGCCATATCAGATTCTTGCCCATGATTTTGAAGGTCTTCTTCATGGTTATCATGCCGTTTCTTCTTCATTGCAGAAACGTCTATTCCAGTGAATAGGGTAACGACTAACAGCAAAATTACTGAAGGGAGCATGGTTTCTGTCAATTCTCTTGAATCCTGTTTTCAATAGAAGAACAGTTGAATATTTCAAAGTACATTTCTTCTCCCATCACCTTTATAAATTACTCCTTCTTAGGCAAATCCTACTCCCTGCATTCTCCATGTTGTAATTTACAATGTTGAAATGTTGGGAAGTCATCTCTTCCCAGGTTTCTGCAAATGCAATTTCAACTTTTCTGTTAAGAATAATGCACCAACAAGGATAATAAGTGCATTTATATAGTGCACTAACATAGTAAAACCTACCAAGCATTTCACGGTGTTATGAACAAGTATGACATGAGCCAAATAAGAGGGGATTAGGTCAGATGACCAAGACCTCGGTCAAATAAATAAGTTTCTGCACGTGTAGGAATATTGAATTATTCCTCAGATTTCCAAACAGTTCGGAGTGTAATGTTATATCTACATTTTTGTGTAAATTTTACTAAACTCCCTCACATCAGTTTGGCCTCAGGCGGTACATACTGGTATGGTTTCAGTGGATGGAAAATTATGGACAGCATGCCCACAATTTTCTACTGTATATTAGTGGAATATAACCATCTACTAGTGATGCAGGAACTTTCAACATTTACTGTAATGCATTATTTAAGAAGATTGAGAAATTGGAATATCTGTCCACTTAGAATTCAATTGTTGGCAGCCATTATGTGGTTGAAAGGACCTCTACTGGGAGAGTTCTGTAAGGATTCAGAAATAATTTGGAATCACACATTCTTAAAATCTCCAGCATTATCAGCTTCCCCGAAGATGTTGGTCCCATCCATTTTAGAATTGTTTAAAAGTCCATTATCAATATTTTTCAACTATCATTCTACGTTTTAAATCACTCTTTTTTATTTTGCAATCATTCTCAGCTTCAGTCGCACACTGCTCTTCAAGTTGTACTGCTATCCTGACACTATATTTACATCATTAGTACATTCTTTTTGAACAGGATAGATTTACATGTACATATTAATCAATTAAAACCTTTAACTGATTAAATATTAAACAGCATCTTATGTTTGTTTAGTACATACTTATAAGTGGTGTGACCCTTTAATCTTTTACTTATAAATTCTGTGTGTGATACTACCTCTCTCACTAACGCCTGAAGAAGGAGTAAGACTCCGAAAGCTTGTGTTTTCAAATAAACCTGTTGGACTATAACCCGGTGTTGTGTGATTTCTGACCTTGTCCATCCCAGTCCAACAACGGCACCTCCACATCATGGCATTCCCCCCGACATTAGATTGCCTGTTGTTTATATTTCCTCCAAACCACTATCAGAGGCCTACTTTTCAACAACTGTCTTTTGGCACTCTCTTGCAAGTCCACCTGATCTGCCTCACTAGCAATGGACAAATAGCAAGGAAATTACTAAGATGGTGATATTGTTGACAAACACCATAAAGGTACCTTGTTCTTCAGTAACAAATTTACAGCACAATTTACTACACAACATACGCAGAGGACACTGCATGTAGTGGCTTTTGTCTTCAACTTCCGAAACAATCTGCAGTCTGGGTACTATTTCTGATATAATACTTGGTTTTTAATAAGGTTGTGTGATCCATGAATATATGATGAATAATCTAAATTACATACTTAAAAAAGTCATTTCAACCATTATTTAGGAACAGAAACGTCAATCCGCTCCCACCAGTTTAATGGAGGCCAATTCATGATAATTAACTGTTCAACATTTTTATTGAGCAACATAAAAATGATGTTGGTTATGTAATGTCGTAAGTCACTCACAACAGCATTTTCAGTGGTATCTGCACCACAATAATGGCAGACTATTGAAGCACCTTTGCTAATTTTAAGTAAAGTTGACCTTGTTTTAAATAAGATCAACCAACAGTTGAAGAAACAAATGATAGAGGGTGTATTCTACACACAATAGAACAGCAGAGCAAAACTTACTCAATTACATTAATGGCTGTTGTGGTTCATACAACCCCACAGCATTCCACGTTCTTCAACAGTTGCACATTATTATCCTTAGCTACTAATTAGAGATAGAGAGAATAGAGATAGAAAATAATACAGGGACAAAGCTTTTCTTTGCAAAAATATTGAGTCACAATTTGCTGAAAAAATAATAGTGTGAGCTACACATGCCATTATTAAAGCTTAAAACAAACTGTTACTTGCGGGAAGGAATAAATCTTTACGAATTTCAAATTAACTGAAGTTGTTGAACACTTTGTGCCACTTGTCCTGGCTTACATAAACAGCACCTCCCACTTTATATCCCTGTGATTTTCTTGAAGTTGCAGCTTTCGGAGTCTTACTCCTTCTTCAGGCGTTAGTGAGAGAGGTAGTATCACACACAGAATTTATAAGTAAAAGATTAAAAGGTCACACCACTTATAAGTATGTACTAAACAAACATAAGATGCTGTTAAATATTTAATCAGTTAGAAGGTTTTAATTGATTAATATGTACATGTAAATCTATCCTGTTCAAAAAGAATGTATTAATGATGTAAATCTTAATTATCCATTTTAATGCAGCACAAGTAGTTAACTTTAATAACAAGATAAGTCCCTTGAAATATTAAAGCAATTGCTAACGACTGTCAATTAACTTTTCTCACCCAGAAAGTGAAACATTATAAATGTGGAGTTGCATTCCTTTTTGGTTCTGAATTATTTTAAGAGATGTTAGAATTGTTAAATTAAAATAAATTAATTTTTTTTCTTATTTTATGTTGCTGCCTCCTTTTTCCTTTCTGTTTAATCGTCCTTTCCTTCTCTTTTTTTTGAACCTAAACTTATCTGAAGAAGAAACACACTGTACTCAAAACATTAACGCTCTCCACAGATGCTGCTATACTTGCTGAGTTTCTCCAGCATGCTCTGGTTTTAGTTTAGATATTTTGCATTTATTGACATTAAATTCACATATTCTAATTTACTCACCTTTTTCTGTTATTTCCCAATCCCATTAATATCTGTTTGCCATCTATTATTTACCATTGTCACAAATACTTGATTGTCCTCTTATCAGCTCACGATTTTCGCAACGCTGTGGGCTAAACTTTTAATACCTACACATATACCAAGAACTCAAACTAATTGGCATTGTTCCTCTCCAAAAAATCTGCCCACTATGTAGGATTCTGCACTCCATGACCGAGGGCGACTATAATATGGTGGGCATGTTGCTCCCACAGTGCTCCCTGCCAGTACAAAACTCCAGACAAACACAATTATTTCACCAAAAGAAAATATTCAAATTCTTCTGAATCCATCACGAGCTGTGAAAGAAAGACATAAATAACAAAACTATGAAGTTGATGAAACGATTCTTGAGTTCAAAGATTTAACTTCAAATCTCAATGGAAACAAACTTGTTTGTCAAATTGCAAATTTGCAATTCTTTCACACTGATATATTCAATTAAAGTAACAACTTGGAGCATGGGACAAAGGAATCACTCCATTCTCCATTCTGTGGAGATAGATCTGATGTAACTTTTAGGGCTTCTTGATATTATTTCAGTTAATGGCGATTAACTAATATTTTATATGTGAACATTTCTTCTGGAATTTTCTGCATTCTTCAAAGTAAACCCTGAGTTCAGCGAAGAAAATATTAATTTTACAGTATAAAAAAAGTTAGCTCATTCAAAATCAGAAAAAAATAACAAAGAACAGTAAAAACAGAAGTGGGCCCTTTGGCCCACCAAGACTGTGCTGACATCTGATGTCTTTCTAAACTAAAAGCCTCTTGCCTGTATGCTGTCCCTATCCCTCTATTCCCTGCCTATTCATATATGTATCAAGGTGTCTCTTAAACATTGCTGTTGTATCAGCCTCCACTACCTCATCCGGCAGTGTATTCCAAGCACTTACCATCCTCTGTGTAAAGCCCTTCCTCTGTCAACTCCTTTAAACTTGACCCCTTTTACCCTAAACCTATGTCCCCTAGTAATTGACATTTCTCCCCTGGGCATAAGACTCTGACTAAGCATTCTTGCCATGCATCTCATATTTTTGTAAACATCTATCAAGTCACCCCTCATCCTTTGATGTTCAAATAAAAAATATCCAAGTTTGTCCAGTCTCCTCCTAGCTAATATCTTACAAAGCAGGCAACATCCTGGTAAACCATTTCTGTACCCTCTTCAAAGCCTCCACATCGTTCTGGTAGTGTGGAAACTAGAACTGTACACAATATTCCAGCTGTGGCCTAACTAAACTTCTATAACCTAAAGTTCTATAAAGCTTCAACATGACTTGTAAATTTTTATGCCTTATGTCTTGGCAAATGAAGGCAAACATGCTATATGCCTTCTTGAACACCTTATCCACTTGTGTTGCCTAGATCCCTCTGTATGTTAATGCTACTAGGAGGTCTGCCATTTACTATACATTTCTGTCCTGCATTAGATCTTCCAAAATGCATCACCTTGTATTTGTCCGGATTAAACTCCATATTCCATTTCTCTGTTCAAATCTCCAGACTATCTATAACCTGCTGTATCCTCTGGCAATCCCCCTCACTATCTACAGCTCCCCCAATATTTGTGACGTCTACAAAGTTATTAATCAGGCTACCTATATTCTCCGCCAAATCATTTCCCCCTCCGCCAAACACCACTGGTCACAGAACACCAATCTGAAAAATACTCTTCCACTGCTACTCTCTGTCTTCTGTGACTAAGCCAGTTCTGTATCCATCTTACCAGCTCACTGTGGATCCTATGTGATTTTATCTTTTGTATCAGCCTGCCATGAAGAACCTTGTCAAAGGGCTTGCTAAAATCCATGTGGATAACATCTACTAGCTGTCCACATCAAACATCTTTGTCACTTCCTCAAAAAACTTAATCACATTTATGAGACATGACCTTCCCCTCACAAAGTCATGTTGCTTATTGCTAATAAGTCCATATTTCTCCGAATCTTTTCCCTAAGAATCTTCTTCAATAATTTCCCTACCATTGATGTAAGGCCCACTGGCCTGTAATTTCCCCAATTATCCCTGTTGCCCTTCTTAAACAAAGGAAAAACATTGTCTATTCTCCAGTCCTTTACCGCCTCCCTGTAACTAAAGAGGATACAAGGAGTTTGTACAAGGCCCCAGAAATTTCCTCACCTGCCTCCCTCTGCATTCTGGGATAGATCCAAGCAGATCCTGGGGACTCGTCTACCTTAATGCTTTTCAAGACACCCAAAACCTCCTCCTTTTTTATGTCGAGATGCCCTAGAATATCAACATCCACCATGCTATTCTCCTTTGTGAATACTGATGCAAAATATCCGTTAAAGATCTCACCGACTTTCTCTGGCTGCATTCATAAATTCCATCCTTTGTCCTTGAGTGGATCTACCCCTTCCCCAGCTACCCACTTGCTCCTTAAATGCCTTGGAATTTTCCTTGATCCTATTTGCCATAGACATTTCATGGCCCTTTTTAGCACTCCTAATTTGCTGTTTGAGTTCTTTCCTGCTATCTTCGTATTCTTCAAGGGCTCTGTCTTTAGCTTTTTAAACCTTACATAGGACTCCTTTTTCTTTTTGACTAAGGACATAAGAACACATAAAATGTAACAACATTCATTACAAAGTTGTTCATTAATTGTTTCCTGTCTTACGAAAATGCATCACAATATTCTGCAAAATGATTTACTGAACAACTTACCAATTGTTTCAGGACCTATTTATTCGCTGTTCTCTGCTCAAAGCAATCCACAATTTATGAGATATTGTTCTCTTGTTTTCTGTTTGCAAATATGATATGTTGAAATGTTGTCAAACAAACCTTTGATTTGACAGGAAGAGCACTTAATGTCAATAATACTGTTGTTTGCTCGATACACAAGCATCGTTTGCAAAATTCTTTGCTTTGCTATTCATTAATGATTAATTGGATATTTCAAAGGAACAGCTTTTCTATACTTTTTAAAATGAACATTTGTTATAAATTGTTGAACTTATTGTTAACTGAAAATTATTTTGATTTAAATAATATTTACTTAATAATAATACATAAATTTGAATAAGAGGACATGAGAAGTTTTGCAATAAAACCATACAGGATCCTGCTTTTTAATAAACAGAGGTATAAAGTATAAAGTGAAAGCTTGCTAAATCTTTTTAAAATGTTGGGTAAGGCTCCAGCTGGAGAATTGAGTCCAATTCTGGGCACCACACTTTATGAACAATGTCGAGATGTTAGAGAGGTGCAGAAGATGGTATGAGGGTCTGGGATTTCAGTTACTTGGAGACCCTAATTGTTTTTTGTCCCCTTAGAACTGAGGTTAGTCTGTGATTTGACAGAGGTTTTCAAAATCATTTAGGATTTGATATAGTAAGGTGAAACTGTTTCCAGTAGCGGAAGAGTATATATAATGTGCACCTAGTCAAGTGATGGAAGCCCAGAGTTGTCCTGTATTTTTGCCCATAATATTTGTCCCAGTTGTAGCAGATAAGGGGATATTGATAGCCTGCTTTGTGGATAAAGAACTGGAAGTCCTAGTGGATGGGTTAATGCAGCTGAGGTCTCTCATCTTCCCCCATGACTAGCAGAGGAGGCCATGTAACCAGCTGCTGCCAGCCTGGTCTGAGGTTGTCACCTATGTCAGTGAGGTGGCAACGATCGGGAGGAATGCATAATGAAGGTCAATGATCTTCTCTCAGCCACAGTAAGTGCCACATTCTTCGACCTCACACTTGGTCTGTCTCTACTATGGCTACCACATCCCACCAAATTCTTGTGCAATTGCTGCGTCAGTCACATGCAACATTTCCCCTCACACACTTCCCAGTCTCTTCAGACTACTTAGACCCTGTGTGGCCTTTGCAGTCTCCTACTCACTCACTTGGGACACTTCCCTACCTGCACCAGCATCAACCTTCATCTCACTTACTTGCACTCTTTCAAGGAGAAGTCAGCCCCAATTTCTCTAAGATGGCTGCGGGTGTGTCCAACATTCCACTCCTCAACCCCTAATAAGGAGAAGACCTGACCAAGGCTGAACTGAGTGGCCAACTGGCCATGTCCAATCTCCTGGGCTGATGATGGATAGTTATTGTCAAGTTGTGATATTGTGATAGTTGATGTCAAGTTATTGTGCTGGTACCCCCTGCCTGAAAGGTGTCTTCCTTGAACTAACTAAGGACTACTCCCTGTAGACCTGGAGATATGGCCAATTGGTTGAAGCGCATTTGGCATGAATGCCGCCGGTACGTAGCACTGTGCCTACAGCAATGTATACACCGTCTCAAGTGATCACAGCTGATGACCATAACAAGCTGTCTGTCTTTGTGTCTGCACTGAATCACACGGCACACTTTTAGATTTGGCAAAGGCGATAATGTGCAAAAATGCAAGCCAGGGCTGAGATGCTGCAAGCATTGAAGTTGGCAAAAAGTAAATGCTAAGAGAATGTGCATGCAGCTCCTAGATGCAGCCTGGTCCATTCCAAGAGTTGGATGCCTGTGTCTATGTGCAAAGTGTTTTTGCAGTAGCATTTTATTGAGGTGCTGATGCATTCCAAAGTGCAGCACTGAAGTACAGTGGATGGGAGATGTGCCATGATGGTGCAGTGAGACTGATACAATATAAACAGACATTGGCATCCAACATGTATGTGCGAGGCCGCTGTCCATGAGTGTGCCCTGAGATGGTGCCAGATGTCCAAGATGGCGGTCTGGAGTGGCAAGTGGCACGCTGGAGTTTTCAGGTAAGTGCTTTGACTTCATGTCAAGAATTCTTGACATAAAGTTTCTATTTAACAGGTGGAAGAATGGTAAATTGCACATTGATGAAAATAAGCAGCAATGAGGGTAATAACGAGCAATAATCCATGCAAATTGGCATCTCGCTGCTCACTAGAGAGAATCTTGTCTCACCATCCAACACTTGGTTGGAAATTGGGTCCTTCTGGACTGTTAAGCAAGTTTTCACTGGACATCATCACCTAGTTTTTCTTCCTAACTTTCAGGGTCTGGGAAGATTCAACTCAATGTAACACTAAAAATGCAGATAGTAACTCTGCAAAAGTAGTAATACAACAGTTGTTATCTTTTGTCATGGACCAGGCCAAGGCCCCTTCAAATATATCAAGGAGCTAGCCCTGGACCCAAACTTCTATCTTATTTAAAGCAAGTGTAGGGTACAGTGTTCCAAATGTAATTCAATTGGTTACACTACCTGGCTTTAAACAAAACACACTTTATTTTTACCCAACTGTTAAAATACAAATGAAGAAAGAATTGATGTAACTTTAACTTTATTGGAAAACGTAACAGAATAATAGATAATTTAACTCCTAAACAGCAACTGTTCATATATAGTACCACCCCATAAACACCCCTTTGGCAAAGGCAAAGTCAGTAAAACATATTGTTTCACATGCGATTCTGCCAGCAGAGAGAGAACTGTAGCTTTCTGCCGTGGCAGAGTATATATAACTGCTTCCACAGCCAGCTTCAAAGCCCCAACAACCGCTGAAAACTAAACTAAAACCCTGGTTCTGTGGGAGCCTGACTCTCTCCATTCATGCTGCTTCTATTATTCCAACTTTAAAAAAGACCCAAGGCCTCATAAGCTGTTTATTTTTTTGGCTTGGAGGAGACAGTTTGACACCTATGGCTCAAAATCTCTCTTTCAAAAAAAAACCAGGACAAAATACACCATGCCATAGCATTGTCACACCTCCCTCCTTGTAAAAAGTGAACCATCGATATACAAAGATGGCTTCATTTTTAGTATTTACTATTTAGCAAACTACAACACATGTACATTACATTGGCTGTAAGCATGCAAACATTCAATACTCCAGTCCTTTCAATCCATTTCTTCCGCCACCAAAACCTTCGTTTTCCTTCATCAAAGTCACGACAATGCATTGGCAATTATGTTTTCTAGTCCTGCCAAGTGTATAATTTTCAAATTAAATGGGTGTAACAATAAATTCCATCTTAGGACCCTGGTATTTTTATCTTTAATTTTGTTTCTAAAAACGTTATAATCGGTATATAAAATTGTCTTAGACACATTACTGGCAATATAAATGTTGAAATGTCACAATGCCAACACCAAACTCAAAGTCTCCTTCTCCATTGTGGATGAGTTTTTGATGAATATTCAACTTTCTGGAAATATACTCAATAGATCTTTCTATCTTCTCGTTATCTTCTTGTAAGAGCACAGTGCCAACACCCACATCCCTTGCATTGATAACCACCTCGATTGGCTTTGTGTAATTAGATGTGGCTAACACTGGGGCGGTGGTTAACACAGCTTTCAGGCTGTCAAATGCTTTCTGACATTCCTTCGTCCATTGAAATTTTCTGTACTTTTTCTGCTAAGGACATCCTTTCTTTTGCTTTTTGTTCTGCTTTTAATCGTAATTCAAACTGTTTCATTTCCTTTTCTCTTTATTTTTCCCTTGCCATTGCCTCAAAATTAATCTACTTCACTTGCAGTTGAATTTTAGCCATTTCCAATGATTCTGAATGCATTCCTGGCAATTGCAAATGTTGAGCTATTGCCGCAATTATCTCCCCACAGGCAATTCCAACTTTGGCTTGCTTGGCAATTTCAAAAGTTTTGCTCAATTCACTTTCTGTAAAAACACCCGAAGTGACTTCTTCCACCCCGAGGAAGCTCTTTGCAAATAAAAGAGCTATTACTGCACAAGGTACACCCTGTTTAGATCAACTGAATGCAATACTTGAAGTAAAAAAAAACACTCACCACTCACCGTCTTTGAATCTAATAATCCTAAACCCAACCTGGAATTAGAGATTTAGATCCCAACTTTAGCCCCACCGCACCCCCAAATTTATTATGGACCAGACCAAACCCCTTTCAAGTCTAGACCCTAACTTCTATCTTATTTAAAGGCAAGTGTAAGGTTCTGTGTTCCAGATTGGTTACATTGCTCAGCTTTAAACAAAACACACCTTCACAACATACAGTTAAATACAAACAAAAGACGAATTGGTATAACTTTAACTCTATTAGAAACCTTAACAGAATAATAGATCATTTAACTAGTAAAGAGCTGTCCTAATATAGTACCACCCCATAAACACATCCTTCACAAAGGCAAAGTCAGTAAAACAGATTGTCTCACATGTGATTCTGGCACCAGAGAGAAAATGGAAGCTTTTTGTTGTGGCAGAGAATTGTATAACAGCTTCCACAGCCAAAACCAAAATCCCAACAACTGCTGAAAGCTAAACTGAAACCTTGGTTCTGTCAGAGCCTGACTCCATCCATTCATGCTGCTTCTATTACTCCAACTTTAAAAGAGACCCAAGGCCTCACAAACTGTTTACTTTATTGGATTAGAAGAGACAGGTTGGTGTCCATAGCTCAAATCCTCTCTTCAAAATAATTACACCTCTTAAAGCCACAGTTTCATCACACTTTGTACCTTTGGCACTGATGATGAAATGGTCTGTGTATTAACAAACATTGAGAGGAAATAGGTGTAAATGCTGATATCAATCCTAAGAATTTTGAGCGATACTGAGGATGTAGAGATTAACTAGTAAATAATTATAGTAAAAATTGTAAATCTAATCTAATTAAATTTGAGTTAAGTAAAGCAAGTGAAAGTAAATTCATTGTGAAAATAGATTTCTGTCAAAAAGTGCAAAAAGTTATAACTTTTAGATTTGTTACAATTGTGTATTAATTTCTTTGTCACAAGTGCTTAATTAAGTGAGCTATTGAATGAAATCTGTTGGCTAGAA